ATACCCGTCTCCGCCCTCAAGTATTTATCATGATATTCTCTAAATCTAAATTAAAATACATCCACCTACTACAGTGCCTGTCAAATTCTACCTATCATTTCAGACTTAACTTACAAATTCTGCTTCCTGTCTTCAGTTTTCCCAGATTACTTCACGTTGGCACAATCCCTTCTATACGTCATATAATGCTCTACATTAAGTTACACTAATCTGTACCATAGACCATGTGCTAGCTGTGTGAATTCTGTGCATCTGACAGCAAAGGCATCTTCACTGAACTAAATTTGCCTATTCATAACCTCAGTAAGAAGACTGACCTTAAGTGAGGAAAGCAAAAAATAGAAAAATAGGAAAAAATTAGAAAAACTGGTAGACTGGTCACATGATCAGTCCCCAACATATGTTGAGTTCCCAGAAGACAGACTTAACCGGTTCTTCCGGATCTTGGTCCTCTCCCTACTTATCTAGCCAATGTCCAACTCACAGATGATGCTATTGGCTTAATTAAATTAGGGGAGGGCCAGGTGAAAATGATGTTTGATTAATAAAGTAGCAGCGCCTGATCAGTTATGCGGTGTGGCTGGGCTCCAGGAGACCAGAACTGTTTTAATTAGGAACACAACTAGAGCTATCTCTAAGAAACAGGGAGAGGCCCAGATGGTTAAAGGGCATTGGGAGCTATGAAGGAAATTAGGGACTGAAGTTGAAGAAAGCGTTTTTAGCTATGGACAAAATCATTCCCTAAAGCTCTTTGGCCTACAAATAATCCTTAAACCTTGCTATCAACATTACAAAATGAGCTGTTGAAAAGCATTCCTGAGCAGAGGAAATGAAACCCCAAAGGATATAGATTATTTTTTAATTGCTCAGAAATAAACGGTAAGACTCAGAGGAAATTGTGGTCCTTTTTAAGCAAAGAAACAAGATTGCCTGTATGTAAATCACTCCGATACATTCGACTCAAAACTTTCAACTCTCTTGAGACTCAACTCAATTGAGACTGACAGGTAATTATCCACCTTAGTCAAGATGCATAAAATAGCCAGGTTGGTTGTCCCCAGAATCCAGATTTTTGCTCTTATAGAGAATACGGCTGCAGTCTGAATCTTGGATATACATTTTTAAACTAGAAAATATATTTAAAAACTGAAAAGATGAAGAAAGGACAAATACCAAGTAAATCTGATCAATAGTTATTTTAATTACTAGGGATCCATTAATTTTTTAACTCTCTTCTGTTGATTATGCCCATATCTAGTTAATATTTAATTCCTCCCCATGTAGTAGTGAAGTTTCTTGTTTCTTTGGTTTTAGTTTTTGGGTTTTTTGCTTGTTTTCACTTTGTAGCTTTATCCTTTCTCTTCATCATTTTCCTTTACGGTACGGAGTATTTTAGTATTTTGAGTAGTTGTTTTAAAAGCATTAATACTGGATCTCACTTTATTCATAAAAATTAGATTTCAATAATCTTTCCAGTTTTTTTAATATTTCAAAACTATGACTCAATGATTCTATATATAATCATGAGATCCGGCTTTTGAAACTTTTCTAAAGGTTATTGAAAAGAGGGACAGAAAGTTTTTCTTTTTTTTTTAAATGTCTTTTACAATTGCATGGCACAAATGTGAATTTGAATGTTCCTAATGTCTTTATATGAATTTTAATGTGATGACAGGAGTTGTGCTAGAATTGGCCAACAACTGTAGGGAGAAGCGAGACTGTAACTCAGTGTGCCTGAAGAGATACCCCACTTCCCCTAGTCCTGGAAGGGTAGTTCCTGTGACTCAGTGTGCAGTAGGGAGATGATGCGGAGGAGGCAGGCCCAGTGGGCTCCCAGCATGTGGTGGGCAATGTGATGGCCCATCTGGAAAGGGCTTTGTTGGAATGGGCCAGTGGCAGGTGTCAGAGACAGGATGGCCCCCTCTCTGAGGGTATCTTTCAGAGGGAGTTGGGATAAAGCTGAGTGTTCCTCTAAATAATCCAAATAAACTAAGAGACGGTGGGGGGGGTGGCGCTGGAGGAGAAGAGAGAAAGAAAGACAGGAAGGAGGGGACAAAGAAGAAATGAAGTACACTGTGAAGCATGAAGGAAGGAAAAGAACCAAGAATAGAAGGAAGAAGGGACACGTGAGATAATGAAATGTTTGAATCCACTTTAGCAATTAAAGACTAAAAAAATCCTGTAATCTAGAAGTTTAATTCTTTTAATCTTATTTTGGTAACTAATTGAACGTGAAACCCATTTTTTCATGGCAAATCTACTAATTAATAGCATACAATTTGGGGGGTGCTGGCATAGGCATGTAGTGAACAGGGATACTAGAGAGAGGATGTAAAACCATTGTGAGAAAATTTAGATTTATAGTGATTCTTTTTGGGTTATTATATTATTCCTTTGGGTTATAGGAATACTTTTTGGGTTATTTCAATCCTCTGATTAGAACGGATTTGTAGTCAAATAATATCCACACTTGGGAAAACTTGTATATTATATACACTCACGCCTGCTCTTCTTATAGTCCTATTTCTATTCTGTACCTCTACCTAAGTCTCACTGTGTCTGTGTTTAGCAGAAAATCATGTACACTCTTCATTTACTGAGCACAAATGTGTACTTTCCAATAATTAAAGAAAAAGACCTTTTAAGAAAAGGCATTGGTAAAAATTAAGGCTAACCTAGTGCTTGGCAATGGCAGATGTTCTGGAAGGACTGAATAATTTGCTTCTTCTGGGTAATTTAACACAATCTTTATGTGTGTATTAGGCAACAGAAATATTTATCCAAGCAAACCTTAAATACTCCTAATAAAATTATTTGTTCAGTTGTCCTGGGGTATCTCATGTTGTAATGCGATTTGGGACAAGGGCAGAGGTGGTTAGTCCTAGAATTCACGCAGGTCACGTTAAACGAAGTACCTACCTTTCTTTTACATTTTCTGCATGTATTAAATATGTTATTCATACTTAGTCCCTTAAAGCGTTTCTTCAGTTTGTGAGGATTAATGCGATATTACAGCAACTGCTTGTTAGATCTTGCATTTTCTGTAAGTTTAACTCCCTTTTACTAATGCCTTTCACCTGTGCTAAATTGTATGAGGAATGTTTTATATGAAAAACTAGAAAGAAGATGATAGACTGACTTGTTTATAAAATGCTGACGGGAAGGATCGTGTATGTGTGTTGGAGTCGCAACTCTTAAAAAGAAGACGGCTGGTTAATGACTTATAGCACTCCTTGCCATTATTCTGCAGATATATCAGCAAGAACTCTATTTTGACTTTCAAATACCTGACTTTGACCAGAATAATAGGCAAGGATGGTGTTAGGAAAAGCTATTCTTTCGATTATAAAGTTTGATTTTACTGATTACTTACAAAGTAATAAAGAGAGTCCTCATCATCCCAGTCTTAAAGAAACGCAGTTTTATTTTATCTGTATTTACTTAGCCCATTATTATAAATTTGATTTGATTTATTACATATTTCTTTGCCCACTATGTCCTTTGATGAGCACAGTGTCCAAGACAAGGTGATGAGAAACAGTTGCGTGAGAAATCATTTCATGTCCAGCCCATATGTTTGCACAGCTCAACTATTGAATTGCTCTTTTAGTCAATCATCTTGTCTCTCTTTTCACTCTCAAACAGCTTTTAGTTTGCGATAATCAAGGCTCTTTATGAGAACTCCAGGATGTTTTGCTTGCTTACCATCAGAAAAGAGTAAGGGCGAAGTCTTGTCTAAAGGAGATCCACACAGGCTAAGGCTGAAAAAGAAATATGATGCCAGTAGAACTTTCCCAAGTCCCTTACAAGAAACTAAAGCTTCTACTGCAAACTGCCCATAGGGCATCCCTTAAACACTTCTTGCTGGCATATGTTCTCTCTCTCCCACCATACCTTGCCTTAATTGCCTTCCCTTCTCTTCTCTGCTTATACAAATCTGACCCTTCAGAGCCCACATCTACTCGGAAGTGTTCTTGGACAATTCCGTCTGGAAGAAATAACTCCCTCTGAATTTATGTAATGCCTAGCTGTCAGTCCCAGTGAGAAGGGTAGTGTGCAGAAAAAAAAAAATCCTGGACCAGTTAGTCTAATATTTTATCATTTACTAGATATGTAACCTTGAGTAAATTGACTAACTTCTTGTAACACCCTCTATCTTCATCCTTAAAAGAGAGTAAGATCTATACCATATCTCCCAACATGTTGTCAGGATAAAATGATGTTATGTTTGTGAAATGTTTGGTATATGGTAATTGATTATACTTAGGCAAAGTATCTGTTTTATTTCCACGAAATTCAGCATCTGATGATCAACATTCTGGTAATCCTAATATGCTTTCACATATGTTTTTCTTATTGCCTCAACCCAACTGAAAGTTTATTTACTTTTCCTAATGATAAAAGTAGGAAGTGTTTATCAGAAAATGTAAAAAGCACACCCAAATATAAAAATGAAAATCTAGTATAATGTCATTACTAGAAAATAACCAGTAATCTGAGAAAAAAACCACTATATCACAGTTCTTATATACGTATATATATATATATGTTTGTGCCTTTGTACATAACTTTGCTCACTGATCAATGTGTCCTATGAATATTCATGTTCTCCAGCCATATTTTTACTTCCTCAATGTACTTGAGTAAGTCAAATTTCTGTCACATCTGGCTAAGCACATAGCACTACGCCTTGGGTAGAAAACGTTAAATAAATGGGCTTTATTCACAGAATGATTCAAAAGGACTTCATGATTAACTATACAATTATTATTCTTTTATAGATTTTATTCTTTTAAGTAATCTCTACCCCCCATGTGGGGCTTAAACTCACAACCCCAAGATCGAGAGTCACATACTCTACCAACTGAGCCAATGAAGCACCCAGTATAAAATTATTTAAAGCAGGACTTCCAGCTTTAAAGATAAATCTGTGGTCTTACTGATGCACTGAAGCCACCGCACGTGACACTGACTCTTCCTTTCCTTTCCTTTCTGTTTAGTTTGTTGCTCAGCCCAACTGTCAACAACTGCTTGCATCTCGCTGGTACGATGAGTTCCCAGGCTGGAGGAGACGGCACTGGGCAGTGAAGATGGTGACGTGTTTCATCATAGGACTTCTTTTTCCCGTCTTCTCTGTGTGCTACCTTATAGCTCCTAAAAGCCCACTGGGACTGTTCATCAGAAAGCCATTTATCAAGTTCATCTGCCATACAGCGTCCTATTTGACTTTTTTGTTCCTGCTGCTGCTTGCCTCTCAGCACATCGACAGGTCAGACTTGAACAGGCAAGGTCCACCACCAACCATCGTCGAGTGGATGATTTTACCGTGGGTCCTGGGTAAATGTGTTACTATAGAAAATATAATAAAAACGTGTTGCTGCCATGGAATTTCGTTGCCCAGAAAAGAATAGTCATTAAAGTTTTGGACGTAGGCATACTTAAAACAGGTCCTGACCATTGTAGCTCCAAAGCCTAATCCCCAAAGCTAAATAAATGCTTTGCAAGTTTTGGGGGACTTGCCCCCAGATGCCGCCTATGAAATGTAACCATAGGTTTTAGGATTTGTGATCTCAATGACTTCACATCCCATGAATGGTTTTCTGGGTTTTTTTGTTTGTGTCCTTGTCTTTTAAAGACTTTCAACATTTCTCATTGGCTGTATATCACTGATCGTTCTAATTTTCTTAATAGATACACCTTCTAAAAGACAAATATAAATCACTCTGCAGAATTAGTGATTCTATACATAAAGTAACTATAACCATTCTTTGAAATCAATCCATTAAGTTTATCTTCGAAATTATATATTCAATCAAAATGATAGGATATTAAACACTATGACATCCTCCAATGTCTCTGTTCTTTCCATAGAAAGAAAAATATTTTGGGATCTGCAGCAAATCTTGGTAAGGTAGAAAACCTTAAAGTAGCTGGTAAAAGCTTTGTTTTCCTCTCTTCTTGTTATTGTAGCCATAGTTAAAATTTACATTTTAATTATTCTTTCCTCTATCTTACTGTGGTTTGCTGAGAAATCACATTTTCCAATTTAGCCCATCATTTTAAACCTCTCTGGTATCATATCCATCTCATCATTTAGTAATTAGAAAATATGTGAAAATTTCATGATTCACAGTCTCAGATCAGTTTGGCCTGTCAAAACTACTGGAGAGACTATAAAATGTGGAAAAAGCAGGGGGAAAAAAGGACTATATCTCAATCTGACATAGATATACTCTTCGATTTTAAAGATTATAAATATTCTAAGTACTGACAATAAGAAAAAGTTCATAGCAACGAGATTTGATATGTTTTACAAATGTACTGGAAAAAAACACCTTCTTAAGCTACCTTTAAAATAGAGTACATTCTCATTAATCTGAAATGCATAAAGTGTGATTTTGCTTAAATTAGAAGAAAGGTTTAGGTAACCTGTGTTCTTTTTGCATAAAATAATTATGACATTGCAGTTGACATTCAATATAAGACGACCCTGCCTATTCCCTTTTAAATTAAATGTCTCACATTAGCAATATGTTCTTTATGGAGTTTTCTCCATAGAAAATTCACTGGAAACAATTATCAAAGAAGCGTTTAGAGGGTTAAATTTCCCATTATGGGTAACTTATATGCAATGTCTAAAAATTCTGGTATTCCAAATGAATTACAGAATATTTAATTTTGAACAATGCTATAGACACAGTGAAGCAAAAGCAGATATAGTATTTCTAGACTTTTCCTTTGTGCAATTAATGAAAATATGTAGAGTAAGTACAATGTGGGGCAATAGTGATACAAAAGTAACAAAAAAAAAAGAAGAAGAAGAAATTCCTTACTCTTATGAAGCTTAAATTTTACTAGAGCACTAGATAGATAATAAACAATGAGATATGTTGCTTAATGTCAGAAAATGGTAAATAACATTAAAAAACAGAAGCTTTAAACCTTTTGGCTGCCTCCTACTTGCAAAACTTGTAACAGAATTTTCCATGAAAGTTGGCTAGAAATTATATCCAGACCACAGCTGAATGCTTAAATAAGGTACACTTTTAATTGTGATAATTAAAATTCCAGTCTAGAGAAATATCTACTAAAGGCAACATTTCCTTAAAATATCCTGACTTCAAGGAGTTAATTTATCTGGGAATTTTTAGGATAAAAAGATATTTTCTAGACTAAAAAATATATATGAATGATCCTCTTGCTTGGAGAATTTTCTATATCAAATATATCTGTCCAAACAATATATTATTCATCAAAGCTGATGAATTCTAAGAGCCTCCCATCTGACACTGAGTTCTAAGTGTTTTACTAGATCCATAACTATAAGGGGGTACCTGCTATGTTATTAGCCTCTTGTAGAAAACTCACTGTATTTGAATACATGCTCAGGTTCTATCACTGAGAGACTATTAAATTATGGGTGGTCACAACCTCTCAGGATTTTTTAGTATGTTCCTCAATAAAACGAAAGATTTAGAGTCCCGCTGAGTCCTAGTGTCCTGCACTGGGGAGCAACCATTACTAAGGTAGAGAAAATTGGTCTTTTTTTGACAGGGGATGGGAGGTGAGGAGGCGGCTAAGGACAACAGGGTAGGAATGCTCTAACCTTTCACCAAAGGTGTGATAGAGAGGGAAAGGCCAGGTCTGATTCGATAACTCTATTAATGAGCCTTCCATCTTGTCTCATTTAAAACTATCTCTGACCAAGGAAGCGGTCAAACATTTCACAGTCCCTCCATTGTGAGGTTCTGGATTTGGAATAACAAGACTGAAAGACTTAGAGAGAAAAGAGTGGCATACAAAAGTGTTCTGCATCCTGTTAATTTTTCCAGTGATAGACTGAAGCTCTATGCAGGGGTTTTTCGCAAGTCTTCTTGAACTGACTTAGATTTTCAACCCATGTCACACTGTGAGCTACTTATTGGGTAAAGAAATGCTTTTTCATTCCTACTAAATTTACTCACCTTCTATTTTCAGGGGATGTTTCCCAGACCTCTGATAACATAACTTAAGAGAAATGATTACTGTTATATCTCCCATTTTTTTTATCCTGACAAAAAGACTTTTGATTTATTCATTTTATATATTCCTATCATAAATTTTAACTTTTCCTGAGTAGAAAAGTTTTTCTAACTGTAAAGCTTAATCTCTCAACTCGATCCCTGTATCTCCTTAAGAAGTATGGTTTTGCTTTGGAATTTCTGTTCTTTCATAAACTTTGCTGTGTTTCAACAATATGAATTTATGTGGTATGACAGATCCAGATATCTTGTGATTTAGTACAGTGGCAGGATAATGTTTCCCTGTTATTTTCAATATCTTTCCTGTGGAAGTTCAACATCCTGTTGACTATTTAAATTGAAGTCTATTGAGTTTTGTATCTTTAGAAAACAGTCTGCAGTGACCCTTGTATTCTTCCACTGTGGTATCATGGATATGCTGTAACTCATCTCTTGCAAAAGGTTTTTGAATGATTTTTCCTTCAGACTTTCTTGTATTGAAGGTTAATGACCCTTCTTTCTCCCATCAGACAACTTCAAGAGATCTTATAGATGTCTGCTGTCAAGATAAAGTTTAGCATATAAACAAAGAAATCTAAAAGCCTCCTGCAGGGATCAAATTTAGGATTTAGTCATCTTGAGATACAGTCCTAACCAAAAGAGAAAACTAATCACAGATCATTCAGTTAGAACTATCTCAAAAGGTAGATTCTTGACAGATAAACACCCATATACTTCTCAGACTGTCAAATTACCCATTTAAACTAGAGTAAAAAGTGAAACAAAAGTTCTATCAAGCAAGCATATGAGCTTGATGACGGAACTATACTTTGCAAGTGTCTGAGAAAAAGTGTCATTGGAAAGACTGGACAATGGATTAAAAGGAGCCTGGGGCCAGATTAGAGACCTGGTTACTTCTATGCTCTGCTGTGCCATGACCCTGAGCCTCTTCATTTATTCAGGGTTTGATTTTTAACATAGAATACCAGGGATATGAAATGAATATTCATGTCAGAATTTCCCTTTTACATAGAATTTATATGCAAACTAAATATAGCATGTTATATTTATAATGTATAATGAGAATTTATCTAAATTATAGCAGCAGTTCTATCTCAAATAGATGTCATTTGTTTTCTGAAGGTAATAGGGAGTAAAATAGGAGGAAAAAAAACTTTCGAATGTTAATTTTTAAGGCCTTCTGCAAAGCCAGTTTTGATTTTTCTACAAAATCCATTATAATTCAACTCTAACAGTCAAATCTGTGTCATAGCTTATTCCCTGCAAAAAAAGTGTGCATATATGTATATGCGTGTGAAATATCAAGAGGTAGACTTACGTTATCAGTTTAGCAGAGAAAGCATGAAATTGACATCACTTTACAAAAAAGTAGAATATTAATGAAGGCTGTCACGTTAATAAAGCAGGAAATAGTTTGTTCTCAATGAGAAGGAAAAACGTCTGCTGCCTTGACTTGATATTATGTGTGTGCCTAAGAATATGCCATAATTATGTAGTATATAAATCTATGCGCGCTGAGCATGATAAGGAGAAGGGTGAGCTGAGGAAAAGATGTATCATAGGAAGAAATCTGAGCTCTGTTAAAAATAGCTTCTAGTGAATTCCTAGGCATAAACTAAGAATTGCTCATAATATCCGGATTATACATCTTGCCCATAACACGTACTTATTTGACAATTTTTCTCTAACAAAATTGGCCTCTCATTTCCATGATTTATTTTATATTTTTATCTTTTAAAGGGTTCATATTAACAAATCTGAACATTTCAATAAGGCCTGCCAAATTGCAAATGGAAAAAGAAAACTTGTGATCACATTCTCCTCTAGCTAAAGACTCATAGAGACAAGCAATTCTATATATGTATATTCTTCCTTTTGACATCCTTTCTACATCTTTTGACTAATAGGCATTAAGATCATTTGGTTTCAGGTACTCATACTCTCAGCCTCCCTCCTGGATGACCCATCTTCTCAGATAGCCCCCCAAAGGTATTCTTGCAATTATAAGAAATAAGTCCCTAGTTTCTCCCCACTCTCTCCCTTGGCAAGGGACTCTAACCAACTCAGCAAACGGGCTGCAGACACACATAGACACTGAAATACAGCTGCAGAAGATCCACTTATTAATTTAAAGAGACATTTTAAGTTTCAAGAAAAACCAGATAATCATTGTAGTATGACATAGAATCATCATTTTCCTTTTTATCTGTGGGGAAAAAAGTTTAAGGTCACCTCTACTAAGACTTATCAAGATTTATCAAGACTAACACAGTAAGATTTCAAACAATGAAAAATTTATGTAGATTTAAATTGTTG